GGGTAAGTACATACCTCTTTCTAAACTTAATCAATTCATGGTTAATTTATAATATGACTTGTTATTTTGTTTCACATATACATGTATTTATTATCTCTGTGACTCTCTATTTTTACGAAAGGAAAGCATGACACTAAATGCCAATATCGTCAAAATTTTAAGAAAATAATTCTATTTTCTTTTAACTGTAGAGATCCCTATCTAAATTTGATGGGACTTCACCCTGATGCCTTAAGGGTATTCGAAAACGTCCAGGATATTACGGGTTTTCTGGTGGTACAGGGCAAACACACCGACTTCACGAACCTATCATACTTCAAGAGTCTTATTCGAATACGAGGGAAAAAGACGTATGTATATACACTATCTTGTGTATTTGTTTGATCAATTGTCTGTGTCCAAAAATAAATCACGTGACTAATACTATATTCTTCTTGAGGAGGAAATTACAGGGTAGTTTTACTGAGATAAAGTGGTCCTTTTCAAGTTCATCTAACTTTCTGGTATAAAGGAAATCTTTTAATGTTGAAATACACCAAATGTGATAAACAAAAATACCCATGCGAACTCTTGAAACTCCAAATTGTTAGCTTAATTATCAAATAACAACTTAACTGTTAGGGACATATTTAAACAGTAATTACTCACTTTGCGAGGCAACCGTAAAATTGTTACTGTGGCATTTATATAAATGTATTTGTTTTCTTTTGTTTCGTTTACTTTCGATCAAATCGTGCTTTTTCTTTGTTTCAGATTGATGAACAACTCATTAACTATAGCATTTACTTCATTAAAATACCTCGGTATGACGTCATTAAAAACAATTCAGAGGGGAAACGTAGCAATAGTCAGCAATAAAGATTTGTGTTATGTTGACAGTATAGATTTCCGAAAATACTTCAGAAGATCTAGGCGCCAAAAAGCCATAGTCAAAAGGAACAAATCAGTATTAAACTGTGGTAAGTATAGTTTTTATAAATGTGTAATTTTTTGACGAACCCAAATTCTATATATAAATAAATTCTTCACCTATGTACTGTCATATTGTTCTGTATGATGTTCTGATGCACTGCTCCTGATAAGTTTTTAAAATGTTTCTAGTTTCAGAGAAAGCTGTGTGCAGCTTACGATGTTCAACAGATGGATGTTGGGGGCCAGGGTATAAAAACTGTGTTAAAAAGGATACAAGATTTAGTAATCTAATTGATGACATGCTACAGACACAGTCATTATACACGTGACAAGAGATGACATGTAGTGTCATGACGACATGGATTTATCATGGAGTTGATGTCACTTCCGGTACAATACCAAATGAGATTACTGGTCCACTGCCATTTATTTTTGTTGTTGGTGTTTGTGTTATTAAATGTTTACAAATACTTCTGACTTTCATTGATATAAAATATAAATCTAGGAAACATGCAATTGTTGGTATGTAGTTGCCAAAAGACGCATCAACCCCAGTCTGGTTTGGCAACTACTAAAAACCTTCACAACTCTTGCAAAATGTTTATACTCGGGAAAGTTGCATTAAAAATAATATTGAGCATTTATAGTATACTTATTAGTACATCAAATTTACACTTACAACTGCAAAGTTTGACATGTTCTTTAAGTCGATTACACTTACTTAGATCAAACCTTTTTTTAAATTCTAGTCTAAAGTTTCAGTCCTAGCTAATAGCTTAAGTTCTAGTCAACAGCTTCAGTTACAGTCAACAGCTTCAGTCCTAGTTAACAGCTTCAGTCCTATTTAACAGCTTCATCCTAGTTAAAAGCTTCAGTCCTAGTCAACAGCTTCAGTCCTAGTTAAAAGCTTCAGTCCTAGTTAATAACTTCAGTCTTAGCCAACTTCAGTCCTATTTAACAGCTTCAGTCCTAGTTAATAACTTCAGTCCTAGCCAACAACTTCAGTTCCAGTCAACAGCTTCAATCCTAGTTAATAACTTCAGTCTTAGTCAATAGCTTCAGTCCTAGTTAACAACTTCAGTCCTAGTCAACAGCTTCAGTCCTAGTTAATAAACTCGGTCCTTGTCAACAGCTTCAGTCCTAGTTAACAGCTTCAGTCCTAGTTAACAACTTCAAAACTAGTTAACAGCTTAATTACTGATGGTTATCTCCATATTTCACTTCAGTAAAGATTTTCTCTGATCTATATATTGTCAGTATGGAAGAGATTGATTGATTGTATGTTGTTTAACGTCCCTCTCGAGAATTTTTCACTCATATGGAGACGCCACCACTTGCCGGTGGAAAGCTGCAAATTCTGTCCTATACTCGGCACTTACGGCCATTGAGCAGTGAGGGATCTTTTTCGTGCCAGCACCTACTGCGACATGGGACCTCAGTTTATACGGTCTCATCCGAAGGACCGGTCTCCACGTCCCACAGTGGGATTCAAACCCACGAAGTAAGGATCAACTCCTTATGCCGCGACTCTAGAGCACACGCTCTAACCACTGCGCCACGCGGGCGACAGTATGGAAGAGAGGCCTGACTGCTGAGCATTCAAATAGGCCTCTAACAACTGTATCCTGTTACTCAAATAGGCTTTTTATACAGCATCCCTTAACTCAAATAGGCCTGTAACAACTCTATCTCTTAACTCAAACAGGCCTTTAACAACTGTATCCCTTAACTCAAATAGGTTCTAACAACTGTATCCCTCAACTCAATTAGACCTCTTACAACTGTATCCCTTTACTCAAATAGGCCTTTAACAACTGTATCCCTTAACTCAAATAGGCTTTTTATTACAGTACCACTTAACTCAAATAGGCCTTTAACAACTATATCCCTTAACTCAAATAGGCCTTTAACAACTGTATCCCTTTACTCAAATAGGCCTTTAACAACTGTATCCCTTTACTCAAATAGGTCTTTAACAACTGTATCCCTTTACTCAAATAGGCTTCTTATTACAGTATCCCTTAACTCAAATGGCCTTTAACAACTGTTTCCCTTAACTCAAATAGACCTCTTACAGCTGTACCCCTTAACTCAAATAGGCCTTTTAACAACTGTATCCCTTAACTCAAATACACCTCTTACAACTGTATCCCTTTACTCAAAGAGGCCTCTAACAACTGTATCCCTTAACTCAAATAGGCTTCTTATTACAGTACCACTTAACTCAAATAGGCCTTTTAACAACTATATCCCTTAACTCAAATAGGCCTTTAACAACTGTATCCCTTTACTCAAAGAGGCCTCTAACAATTGTATCCCTTTACTCAAATAGGCCTCTTATTACAGTACCACTTAACTCAAATAGGCCTTTAACAACTATATCCCTTAACTCAAATAGGCCTTTAACAACTGTATCCCTTTACTCCTTTAACAACTGTATCCCTTTACTCAAATAGGCCTTTAACAACTGTATCCCTTTACTCAAATAGGCTTCTTACTACAGTATCCCTTTACTCAAATAGGCCTTTAACAACTGTATCCCTTTACTCAAAGAGGCCTCTAACAACTGTATCCCTTTACTCAAATAGACTTCTTACTACAGTATCCCTTTACTCAAATAGGCCTCTTACAACTGTATCCCTCAACTCAAATAGGCCTTTAACAACTGTATCCCTTTACTCAAATAGGTCTCTTACAACTGTATCCCTTTACTCAAATAGGCCTCTTTTTACTGTATCCCTTAACCCCTTGTCTTTATGTAATTTGAGAAATAGTGAAGCTTTTTGTTTATTTGTTTCAACATCTCCTTGCACTAGTAATAACTTGAGCTTATTCACAAACTATCTTAGAATGTTCGATACTTTATTATCAGTTAAAAAAAATCAGATTATATTTCCCCACACTTTCATGACCAGAATACTTATTTATAAATAGTTTCCCTTTTCATTCAGTCACATAAAAAGTACAATACTTCTGATCAGGACTTCCAAAGACAAGAATTCAGAACAATATTTAGATGCTGTAGATACATTAAAGAAACCCTCTTTGCCTTAAAACATGGTCTTTTCAATTACAATGAAATTTTAATCAATTAAAAATCAATTAAACCTCTAGGATCCCTTGAAAAAGTGGACATTTTGGTTGCAGCTGTTAGCCGATCAGCATCTTGAAAACCCATACAGAAATGAAACTTGGAATACAGGTTCCAGCTAAGAGTAGATGAACCCTATTTATTTTGTGGTCAAAAGTCAAGGGTTAACTACTCAAGACATGAGAACATGGTGCACTCAGTATCTTCACAACCCTCTGCTTGACCAATACCAAACTTGGAAATTGGTTTCCCTTAAGAAGTAGATGACCCCAATTGATTTTGAGGTCACAAAGTCAATCTACTTTGGACTTAAGATGATATATTAATCATTATCACATTTTCAACAGTGAAATACTGTGATTTATTTATTGAATAAAAGTGATATTCTCTCACAGTGTGAAAGTATACCAGTGATATTATCTCACAGTGTGAAAGGATATCAATGTAAGTTAAAAATAATTTCTGGTCTGTAATAAGATAAAGTAAATAAACCATCTTGATAGAGACTTAAACTGCCAATTTCTTCCCAAATACATTGCTAAAATCCATGTTACAATAGTTTTAATCTCACAACTGCTAAGCTATGATGTCTCAATTGCTGAAATATGAAGACAGAGCCTACAATGTATGACACTGTGTTAAGAAAAGACAGAGGCAAAGGGAAAATAAAAAAAAATGTAATGAACAGAAAATTCAATGTTTTGTAGATGAATATGGAATTTATTTTACTCATGAGACAGGATTTTTTTTATATTTTCACTCGTGCTTCGCACTCGTGAAAATATAAAAAAAATCCTGTCCCACTCGTAAAATAAATTCCAACATTGAATATCCTCTATGTATCTTCTGATTCTTTTGCTTAAGACACATATCAAGTTTGGTACACTGGTAACCTCTAAGAAGTAAATTACTCATATGATATCGAGGTCTGATAAAGATCAAACTAAGACAAGGGCGATAACTCCTATAATACACATTAAAAAGAAAATAAACAACCTTTGTGCTTTAGCCATTTAATCATCCTTTTTAACTTAAGCATCAGTGGCAGTAATGGAGTCATTAGTTATAATTACAGGAATGACAAAAACAACATATGTAACTCACAGTTATAATAATAATATCAAGTCACATAAAAATAAATGACATGTATATATTTGCCTGATATTATACAAAAGACATCATGGAGAGATGATATCCCATACCATATGTTCTATGGCATTTTATTTTACAAGCCAGCACACCAGGTAGTTTTATTACAGGAATGTTGATACCTTATGAATACCACAACCATTTACAAAACACACAGCATGTTCTAGGCCTCCATTAATACTTCACTGTTCTCCTTTACAAGCTATGAAAGCACTAAATGTAGATTTTGACATGCTATTTCAGCAAGAGTTGTTTCTCATTGCTCACAATATTGGAGGTCAACAAGCCCTGAGATTCCTTTACAGTCAACCAATTTATTAAAACTTGTCATGCTCGACATAAGGTGTACATAACAATTTTTCCAGTGAATATATTTGTTAAAGCCTCCTTCAAACATAATTTAAGTATTTTAAAGATTTTTTCCCATATACATGTATTTCTGCCACAAATGTTTAAATTCACCAGTTTCACCTCCAAGATGGCATGCAGGAAAGTAACATGGAAGAGAAATATTTCATACAATAACTATCAATTATCTAACAGTAATTTGCAATAATCAAATACTTCTGTTCAGAGAGAAAGTGATGATTTTTTTTCAAGTGAAGGGATTTTTTTTTTTAGTTTGACCATAAAGGAGATACAAAGAAAAATTCAACCTAGGACAAAGGCCGTTACAGCAGGAAGCCAGCCTTAACATAGCGTCAACACAGAAAACTTAAACAGCAGTATAAAAACAACATACGAGATATAGTCTTCTGAAAATGATTAAGCCAAAGCTTAACAGATTAAATAAATAACACTAATTACATGTCATAACTGTAAACTGAACTGTCTGATTTCTAAAGCTCAACAGATTAAATAAATAAAACTAAATACATGTCATAAATACAACTGTCAATTGATCTGTCTGACTGTTAGATTATCATTACTATTGTACACATGGGTGGTTCTGGTTAGAATGATTATTACACAAATCAAAATAATGGTCATAAAAAAAACAACAACATAAAAACATGTTACACTTCAGAAATATACAACAACATTGTTAAAATCATAGTGTTACACATGCCAAGAAAATGACAAAATTTCTTTCATCAAACAGTTAAAAAATAAGAACATTGGGTTTAATTCATGTTCAAATACTCAAACTTGCATTCTGTAGTCAAAATTTATATGCAGACTGTGCGAGGGTTTTCTTGAGGGGGGGTCGAAGGTAATGAAAATGCAGAGGGTACTACATGTATATCCATATATATCTGACATAAAAAAACAAAGAAAAAAAATCTCAGCCATCCTACTTTGTTCCCTTTAAGCAGGTCTCTTATGGCCATACCATGTTTAATTCATAGTACAAAGGCTTTTGCATTAACATATTTAAAGTTTTAGAACTGCAGGGTTCAGTAATGTTACCTTACGAAGAAAATTCATTGATATTCGATAAAATAATAGAAAAAAAAAAAAAATTATAACCTCAGAGTGTTGCCAAATGATCTACTCCTTCTATAGCATGTGCACATAGATCATGTTAGCTTTGTAGCGACAGGGAACATACACAAATAAGTACAGTCAGTTGACATTCTTTGCTGTCTCTAATGAAAACAAAAAAAAAAAAAAAATCATCATTTACATATGAACAACAGACTACTTCTGGACTTTAATAAACCTACATAATATACAATGTTGCAAAATCCATCCCATTAAACACTGTTTGTATGTATATACTTAGATAACTAAACTAATTTTAATATTTCAAAATTGTCATTATCACCTGTTGATAAATATTTACCAAACTTAATTTAAGACAACTTAATTGTAAAAACATGAATTATCTTGAAATAACAACGATCAAAACCACTTCCTCAAGTGTACAAAAATAAAAACATCATGGCCACGAGTAATGTATCACATGGGACAACAATACATCATAATGTAAAATTGCAGAACATAAACACTACATATACACAATCAAGCCTCCAGAACATTACTAAAGAAAAAGCATCTCAGAATTTTATGAAAGAAACAAATCTTGAAATGATGCAAAATAAACATTACCGTTAAATAATTATGATAAACATTACATTGTAGATGATAATGATAAACATTAATGTATAGATGATAATGATAAACATTAATGTAACACTACTGTAAAGCAAACAAGACGGAGGTTCCAGGACATTCTGAGGGAGATACTGTAAACCAACTTTTAATCATGTGCCAGAAATATCCATGATTTTTGCTACATTCTTTTACTAGGGAATATTTCTGAATGTGAACCTTTTCCTTAAAGGACTTCTCGCATGATCTTTCAAAAATCGTAATTTTATGAAAAATATTATCTACAACCTTGTTTATTAAAATACTGAATACAATAAACGTTGTTGAAAGCATATTTTAATAGATATTGGGAGTTGAAATTCAAATACGGCAATATGCATATTTCAGCCCGATTTCAGTGAAATACTGCTCTGACGTCATAGGCGACAATTCAGTGATAGAGAGATGAGAATATGCACACTATTTTCGGAGTTATCAACGACAAATGCAACTTAATTACGAAAAATGCTGAAAAAATTAATTCCTAACGTGCTTTTCATCTACTATAGAAACATTAACTAGTTCTAAGGTATAAGGCTTTTGAGATATTTTCGTTTTTTATTCCAAACATTTAGAATCTATAGCTCTGATTACGGCAATGTTTCGTGATCGGGAAATTATTTTTCAAGATCGCCATCCTTTAAAAAACGTATGAAGACTTGCATAAATTAATATTATGTTAAAAACGAAGAACAACAAAGTTATATAATGTTAAATTTGTGAATCAAATAAGTAAATACATGTGATAAGATGACAAATCAAATCGTATTCTGATGGCGAGTTTCTTCGTCTTCGCCGCGTCTCCATTGCTATCGTCGCTGCTATTTTTACAATGTTAACAGATTTTTCAGATTTTTTCTTGCTGACAGTTCTAACATATAAGGTTGGATATTCAATTTCATATGGATAAAATAAGCGATTTGGTCGTCCACAACGCAGAAAATTCAGGTTGTATCGCGTATATTTTCGTAAGATTAACGTGGGGCTGATCAGCCATTGTCGCCTTTGACGTCACAGGGCCACGTGATCGCTATCTAATTAACTTAGATTTTTAAATCAGGGGTTTTCATTTGAGTCAATAATTGATTAATTACCGCGGTTTATCCGCAATAAAAACACAGAATTTATAAACTGTGGTCATAAGTAACGTTTTACGCTTTTAATTTCAAATAATTTAGAAACATGCAATAAGTCCTTACAGTATCTCCCTCAGAATGTCTTGTTTGTTTTACAGTAGTGTTACATTAATGTTTATCATTATCATCTATACATTAATGTTTATCATTATCATCTATAATGTAATGTTTATCATAATTATTTAACGTATTTACATAGAATGTATCTTAAGTTATGAAAATTAGTTGTTGCAGTTGGATTTCAAACTGACCAGTTGTGAATAAAAGTTGTCAAAAATAATAGTCGGTTATAAACAAATAAGCTGATAGTTCTGAATTACTTTCAAAAATTTGAAAGAAATTTGTATTAAAATCACACATAAAATGTTAGAAACTGATTCCATTCTGATAAATTCAAATACAGTGTTGCAAGCCAAGGTTTTTTAATCTGCTACTCATTGCAGCATCAAGCAGGATCTGTCTAAAACAGCAATAGTGAATTAAAATCCAGTGGCTTGCAAGAATGACAACATTACAACAAAACTCATCTCCATCTGTAAACCTGGTTATAAATATGTGTATTTATCTATGGGTAGTCAACATCTGAATACTAAATACATTTTATGATACTGATGAAAGTTTGGTGTCAAAATACTAGTTGGTATAAGGACTGCAAACATTATGTTTTTTCCAACGTCTCACAATTGGTTAAATGTTTCACAGAATCACTGTATCTTATTCGCTTTTTAATTCTATGATTCAAAACTTCTTTGGTGAAATGATCATCAAAAAGTGCTGATATGTTGAGTTTTCAACTCCAATTAATACACATCAGACACATAAAATGCAAATTTCTTAAAGAATAAAAAAATATACAAAAATTTAAAAGGTCTTTGAAGGTGGTTGAAAAGGACAGCATAATTAACTGGAACATTTAAATCACAGATAAAATGATACAATTACTGACTAGCACAATTCTTGGTATTTAAAATTTACAGAATAAACTTGAAAATATGATTGCAAAAATGTTTATAAAATTATTGCATTTCCATGTTAAGTAATATGATATCTGAATTTGATACATACTGATTTCACTATTTAGGGCATGTGACTCTATGTACAGTGGCGCCGCGTTTATCCGGACGCCATTTATCCGGACGCTTCACCATCCGGACGATATTTTTTGGGAACCGATTTTTCCATGTTATTTTGTCTCATTAATCCGGAAAAATTCGCGTTCCGTATCCGGACTGTCAATTTCTACTACAAAACATAATAGTTCATTGAAAAGTGACTCGTTTATCCGGACGATAATTTTTCAAGAAACGACATTTTCACACTTATCTTGCATTCGTGTTAATTGTTGTAAAAACATTGGCCATGCAGTCAGTTTGAAGGCGGTTACCTGTGACCTACAAACAATAGCATCTATAATTAGCGTGTGTTTACCCCAATTCAATCACACGTTTATCTTTATTATGAAGCTCAAAGAATTTAGCTGACAATGTGCATTAATTAAATAACAATCCGTTCAAAATTATATTGCTAACCGTATATACATCGGTAAATTCAGGAGAATTTTGGAGAGATGTAAATAAAATGAACAATAAATAGCGAGCGATTTCGTAATGCTCTTTATCATGTCGATTGCGTTAGTTTAAAATACGATGTTCCATTTCTAAAAAACGTAAATGTATTTGAAACTTTTTTCCCCACAAGACAGCATAGAAAGGTACATAATTGAAGAAACATCTCTATTTAATGTACTACCGTTTACAAACGCCCCGGCATTACATATAAAACTGGTGTTACGAACAGAAGTTGATTACGTTTTTCCAAGGTATTTTTTAATGATCGAAATTCAAACTTAGCGTCTGTAGAAAAAAAAATAATATTGATAATCATGAAGATGGCTTGCGTTTACGAATGTTTTTAATACTTTGTTTGAGTTAGTTTGCAGTGTTCAGTTAATTTTATAGTAACTCTGTTAATGAATATACGGGGAATATACAGGGTTAGTTTATATTTGAACATTTTCAATGATGATGCTGAACAGTTGTGTCATATTATATGAGCTTCAATAATTATAATATATGGCAAAATAAAACAGTAGATCAAAATTTGCTCAACCCATGAAGTCACATGCCAAAGAGAAGGCGAATTAAAAAAGGGGGTATCGGCATAAAATTGCCCATCCATTTTTTTTTATTGTGTAAATTACATTTTAATATATTTTTTCATTAATCAATTACTGCTTTTAAAACAATTAACCAAATTATAATTTAAAAGTTTTTTTTTCTTTGCTGTAACATTTGAAACAAGAATGTGCATATATACATGCTTAGAGAGTGCTTTTTGAGATGTGATTCAATTATCCGGACGATTCATTAATCCGGACGATTTCGTTGGGGACAGAGGCGTCCGGATAAACGAGGCGCCACTGTACTTGTATAAAACCCTCCCTAAAATGGTATCATATAAAGTGTTTTTTAGACTTGCATCTTCTCTTGTAGAAAAAATGATAATATAAAGCAATAATGATGGACACACACAATACATAATAAACAGCACAGAGTCCCATGTCTGTGGTACTGACTGTCCCGACAGCTGGGAGATTTACCTCCCTTGAGGAACCTTTACGGTGACTTGGTTGTCTAGACAACAGCTTCTTCCTCTTTTCCTCCTGTTTTTGTTGACGAAGCTCTCGGAGTTTCTCCAGATCCTTGCTTCTCTGCATCTTCTGCCACCAATCCATATCTTTCTTATCTGAACTAATATCTGGAATGTCCTCCACTTCATTTGGAATGCTAATAATATGATCAGATCCATACAATTCTAACAAATAAATCAACACAGCCTCTTCATCAAACTCGGGATCTTGGTTGCCCTGGGACTTGTGACACTTTGAGCAGGCAGATTTGGGGGGAAAAGGGACTTTTGGGTGTTTAGGGTCCTCCGAGGCATCACCATGGAGCCTCTTATTGACCTTGTTGTGTGACCTCCACAGCCATAGGACAAGCTCTTTAGGTGAGGTCACCTCAGTGTCGATGGTTGCTGCCATCTTTGTGAAATGTCTGCTGCAGAACACACAGCCAAAGAAATGCTTCATATAACCTCCTATAGCTATGAGAACATCCTTGTACAGGAACTTAGCACCTACAACATATTTCTGTTGATTATTTTCCTTTCTTATGAATTAATTCTATTTCACAGCTATAACACAGGATATATTTTTTTTACATTGAAAAACAAAACTTGCAAAAATTAAAATAGCTTGTCAATTAATGAAAATATAAAATATTCAAAAATTTACCTTTTTTGAATTATTATTCAAAGTAAAGACTGCCACACTCATTTTCGGACTAGAAATGTGTATTTTATATATTGGGTACATCATGTATTGCCCTTTGAGTAAATTCTATAGTATTATGAACTCACTGTCTTTTCCGTACAGGTAAGAATTGACCGTCAGTGTGTGAAAGAGAGTCCACATGCCGCATGGGTATCCACGGAAATAAGTCTGACTCCCTTGACAGGAAACCCAGAGGACTGACTCTGGCAGAAAAGAATCAACAGTCTACAAAAAGAAGAGCAGAAAAAATTCAACTAAAAGCAGTTATCATGGGACTTGTTTCCCCTGCATACAGAAAAAAACTACCTTTAAAATTTTTTGTACATGGTTTTAGAAATATATTTTGCTATAAAAGAAAGAGCACTTTTTCTTCTCAGCGAACACATGCTTACTGAATTTTAAGGGAAACAATCAACAATCAAGTCATTTCAAATACATGTATTGCCGAAAAAAAACCCACACAACTCTTTGGTGCATTATATATATGTAACAGAAGTTTGCCATTGGCAAAGCCTTTGAACAGAATGACCTACCTGTAAGGATTCAATCATGTGTGACCAGTGATAGCTAGTTATGTCTGGTACCCCATCCAGCCAGCTGGACAGCTTCCTCAGAAAACTACTCACCTCCTCCCGTCCAGGAAAATACTAAAAATAGCAAACTTGTACAATTTCACTTCAAACAACTAGCTTCTTTTTTTTTTTTTTTTTCATAAAACCTACCTTGTGTTACAAAAAGAATGGAAGGATATATTAAAGTATTCTTAGAAATTTAGACTAGTTTAAAGATACATTATAAAATGAAAAGAATTGCATCATTTCCTTATAAAAGTTTCTTTAAATCATTTTTCAATTCTCTGAACCAGTATGAACCACACAAAGAACAACATTCCTCAGCTAAAAATATTGCCTACTTTAGCAAGAATGCGAACAAAATGCTGGAGAGCTTTTAGATCCTCCCCTTGAATGTCTTTATGGATGGCCACCTCATGCCTCAAACAATAGGTCAAAGCAGACTCCAAGTCCTGCATGTGGACAGCATACCTGAAGTGATATCAAAATCATTGTTTATATCTGTTTTGATGCTTCCTTACTAAACTTCTTGCAGTCATTATATTGGCTATATATATGTAGGACTCCAAAGTGTGATGGGACTCCAAAGTCCGATGGTCATGCCAAAGTCCAATAATCTGCGCCAAACCCTGATGGTTTAACACGCCAAGATCTAAAATAATACAAAATAAATTTTTTATGCGAGGATTAACCTTAATCTCTCAGAGAGGTTAGTCCAGAGAGGTGCAAGACTAACCCTAATTGGTTGAAAGGTGTGTAAAAACTATAAACTAGATATCTTGGGTGAATGCGAGACCAACCTTAATAAGTTGAATAGTGTGCAAGGACTAACCCTTAATCTCTCGGGTTTATGCGAAGCTATCCTATAATCAGTCCAAAAGTGTGCAAGGACTAACCCTGATCAGCTGAGTGGTAAGCGAGGACTAACCCTAATATCTCTGTTGGGTGCAAGCAATAAGCAAAATCAGTGAAACTGTATGCGAGGACGAATACTAAATTGATGGCTTTTGAATGCAGGACAACGGCGTCAAGGACTGATGTCGGAATACTGTGAAATCATAAATGTTGATTGTTTCTCCGCACCAATGGACTTTAGCGCAGCGCGTCTCATGGGAAACGAGCCATCGGACTTTGGTGTGACCATCGGACTTTGGCGTCCGTACCGACATCAAACCATCGTGGTTCAGCGCAGACCATCAGACTTTGGCGAGACCAGCAGCCTTTGGCGTGACCATCGGACTTTGGAGTCTTACATATATATATAGATATATATATATATATATATATATAAACTAACTTTTCAGGGTTTTTTTCTTTAATAGCCATGTCTTGGACACTTTTTTTCTGATTCTGGGGTTGAAGAACATCAACTTCCTGTTGCAGATGCTCAGAGTCTGGCAAAGGCAGTGGTTGTTGGTTTCTACCACCTAGTTTCTCTGTGGAGACAAGGGCTGTCAATGCACTCACAAAGGATGCTCTGTCAGTATAACCTCTGAAAACAAGAGATAGACACCATCCATAGTATAGCATATGAAACTGTAAAAAGAATGCTAAATTTAGTTTGCTTATGTATTCAATATAAAGTATCTTGCAATGTACAAATTGTACATGTCTATTGATTACTATGTGATCAAGTTCTTTATTGTCAAATCATTTTAATTTGGGGTAGGGGTGGGAGGGTGTCAATGTTCTTTGGCAATCAAGAAACCCATGCTCATTGGTCCCCCATGAACAATGATGCTTCCACAATATATAATTACTTTATCAAAATCACATGAGAGCACTTTTATTTGTCTTGTCAATCAAATATTTAAACATGAATATTTCACTGATGTTCTTGTTGCTTCTCATATATTTTTTTTTATCAACCATTACCATCTGTAAATCAACTGTTAGTGACCTGAAACTTGAGTGTATCACTGAATCACTAGGCAACTTAGTCCTGCACTTGCAAGTATCAATAGCATTTGAATGTAAAATAAAAATAACAACAACCTTCATTCAATTAAAGATATATATCTAAAAAATAAATAAATAAAGATATAATATTCATCATTCATAACTTAATATGAAGATTTTGAATTAACATTTCTGTTAAATACAGACATAAAGAAAATGATCTTTTTTACCATCCTGAAAGCTCTTACTTTGCAATCTGCTTAAAACCATGTGGCTCAAATAAATACAGAGATGGAAATGTTGTGATGCCAAACTTTTTTGTGCTCTGGGCATCCATTCTAAGAACTAGAATGTTAGAATTCAGGCTGAGGTCCAATATAACCTACAACATAAAAATGTTTTAGTTAAGAATGAATATTGATAATCACAGGATAAGTATAACAGGAACTCAGTCCAAACAGGAAACAGAAAAAAAGATGAGTAAAAAAGGTCTGGATTATGACCCTTCATGTAAAATAGTGTACTTCAACTTATAAATATCATATCTTTTTAAGCAGATCTTGAACCAATTTAAGACACTGTTGTAAGACTTGCCACTACCAGAAAGAAACATAATATCTAATTTTGCTATAAATGAAGTAATATTGACAATAACAGGATAAAGAATAAAAGGAACTTATTCCAAACAGGAAACATGAAAAAAAGACTAGTAAAAACAGTGTGGCTATGACC